AATCAAAGAAAACAATGTAGTTGTTGATGCATTAAGAAATATTTCAGGGACAAATCCAGAGTCCTTGTATTTTGGATATAAGGCCTTTATTTATTTATTTTATAAGAATTAAGAATTAAAAACTAACGCTGTAGAAACTTTTGTTGTCCATTTCTTGGTGGAAATTTAATAAAAAAATATTTATAATTTAATTTTTTAAAATTAGAGTTGGAACTTTTCAATTTGCCCGGCCCGGTATCCATGTTTGCCGCATGAAGTTCATTCCCTTATAATGGAATTTCTGGTCTCCCTATTAACATAAAATCATTGGTATTTATCACCAAAGGAAAAATCCGATAGAATAAAGTTTTGATGAGTCAATCAGGTTTCGGTCGTATGGGTCGTGTTGATTAATAAAATGCTTAAAATCATGAATTTTATTCCCTAGTGATCTGCTATTAAAGTAGTATACTAAACAAGGTTTGCTTTCAATGGAATTGCTATTGTTTTTATTTGTTATGCTTATTCTTCTGTGGCTTTCAACAATCCTTAAAATTACGTCATGGCTCACATCCAGACAAACAATATGTCATTCAAAAAAGCTGCGCGAACTGAGTCGAATGACACCAAAATTAGATTCGTGACTCAATTATGAGCCGAGATAAGGCTCTCGAAAGCCGAATGAGGAACTAAGCGAATTATTTGGGAACCGCGAGGCCCGTAAAACTGAAGTTTAAAGCCCGAAACCTTAAAGTCTGGGAACTTAGAGCGAGGAAACCGCGAAGAACTCCGAAAACAAGATTTTATGAAGATACACTGTTTCTGGGCCACAGTACCCGGAAAACTTGGTCTGGTTTGGTTCAAACTCTAATTTTAATACTCTCAATGGAAAAAATTTTGAATTAGATTTAATTTTTTAAAGTTTGTTGAAAATTTTTTAATAATAAAATGAAAAATAAGAAATATGAGGGACGTCAAAAAAAGTACAGTAAAAATTCACAAAAATCCCACAATCTTTCAAATAACAGCTCATTCTCCCACACACCTTCAAATTTATTTAAAAATATTTTTTTTAATATTTACTATGCCAGGTCTAAACATATTATATTAACGTAAACATTTTTTTGCTCAAAATATGAGACAATAAAATGTTGTCTTTTACATCAGTCCGAGCTCTAGGGCATCTTTTAATAACTACAAACTAAATAGCTTCATTTTAATTGTGTAGTGTAATCAAGCGAAGAAGAAATGTAAATTATAAAAGATATAAAAGATACGTTACCCCCTATATATCCGCATTATACTACTGTAGTCCAATCACAATTTATGAGTCCAATAAAAAATATTTGGATTTTTCTTTTTGTTGCAAAGTTGGGGTATGGTTCCAAAACATTTCTTCATGTTCGGGACTTATGCTCACTGGATCTGGAACCCTTCCTTACCCCATCCCTCAGAATTACGGAAAGTTATAATCGTTTTTGTGAAATTTTTAAAAATTGGCTATAATTTTCCGAAATTTAGAGGGATAGGACAAGGAATGGTCCCAGACCCAGTGGGCGTAGGTCCCTAACATGAAGAAATGTTTTGTAACCGTACCCCAACTTTGCAACGCCAAGAAAAATCAAATTTTTTTGATTGGATTCATTTATTTATTTATTTACACCACTAGGGTGTGACAGTCAAAAATAAAACAATTTGAAGTGAAATAATGAAAATTAAAATGCAAATAAAAAAATGTCCTTAAAAATAAAAATCAAAACAGCTTAATAAATAAAGTTATATCATTTGTCATTTAAAATGTTGGAAATATCCAACTGTGCAAGAAGTTTAGAAAACATTTTGGGTGTATTTTTTCTAATTTCTATAGGAATTAGTGAATAAATTCTAGCAGTTCGAACAAAAAAGGAATTGTACCGAATCATGGTTGAACAACGTGTTGGTTGTATTTTATATTTTTCGCCCCTTGTTTTTGTTTGTTTTATCATATAGGAATTATTATGGTTAATTTTAATTTTCCCAAATATATTTTGATGAAATAGCTTTAAATCAGCTTTAAGTCTTCGACTTTCAAGGGATTCTACTTTAAAATGTTGTAAAAGTGTTTTGTAAGGTGGAATATCTTCTATTTTTACCTTTGTAACTCTTTTGTAAACAAATCTTAAATATCGTTTTTGTATATTTTCTATTAGTTTAATATTTTTCTTAGTTAAAGAATTCCAAACCGGTGACCCAAATTCTATTATTGACCTTACGTATATATTAAACGCTTCTATAAGAATTTTAGGATCTTGAGATTTTAGAGATTTAATTAATGTATAACAGTTTTTATTGGCCCTTAGAGATATTGTTTGAATATGTTTATTAAACTTGAATTTAGAAGTGAAGAAAATTCCGAGATCCCTATTCTTGTCTTCATTACTAATTTGGAATATTTTGTGGTTTCCTATTGAGTATTGTAATTTAGGGTTTGATTTACCTATATATAATACTGAGCATTTATTTAATGATATGTTGAGACCGTTGATGTTACAATATTGAATGAATTTATTAATAAATAATTGTAAAGAATTGTTAGATAAATCGGTTTTTGTTAGAATTTGATAGGCTTTGATGTCATCGGCAAATAATTTTATTTTTATTTCAGGAGTGTAACAGAATGTTGGTAAGTCCGATAAGTATATATTAAAAAGGAGCGGACCTAATATAGATCCTTGCGGAACTCCACTAGTAATAGAGAATTGTTCAGAATATTCATTTCCTATTTTAACAACAGATTTTCTGTTGTGTAAGTAATTAGAGATCCATTTTAAGAGTGATGTTTCAATTCCTATTACTTTTAGTTTTGTTAGAAGACGTTCATGGGGTATAGAATCAAAGGCTTTAGCTAGATCGAAATAAACTATGTTTATTAAATTTTTGTTATCCAATGCAAATGATATATCATCTTGAACCTCAATTAGTTGGGTAGTAACGGATTTGTTTGGTCTGAATCCATGTTGACAATCTGGTAATATACCATTTTGTTCAACATAAATTGATATATGGTTTGCAATTATTTGTTCAATTACTTTTGTGATTGAACATAGTAATGAAATTGGGCGAAATTCTTCTATTTTGGGTATCTTTAATGATTTTGGTATTGGTATTATTATACTTTGCTTCCATATTTCAGGAAGTGTTGAAGTCATTAATGAATTAGAAAAAATATAATATAAAGGATAATAAAGACTTTTAGCACATTTTTTAAGGAATATACATGGTATAGAGTCATAAGAAGAGTTAGTTTTTTCAGGTAGCTTAGAAAGAAGATCAAAGATTTGTAGTTCATTTATGATTACGGATTGACTTGTATTTTGATTTGTTATAGAGTTTAGATCTGTATTATCTAATGAATTTTTATTAAATACAGAACTAAATTGGGTACTTAGAATTTGTGCTATTTTATTATCAGCGTATACTAATTGATTATTTTTATCCAAAATTGAAGTTATTTTCTTGTTTTTGGATTTGAGAAATGAAGAGATGTATGAGAATTTTTGACTGATAGTTTGTGTTTTATGCTTCTCTCTATTTTTTAAAAATTTGTTAGTTTCAGAATCTATCCTTTTTGTTACATATGAGATTTTACGTGTTAGCTCTGGAGTGGTTTTTTGTTTCCACAGATTTTTTAGATATATGATCATTTTTTCAATGTGTTCGGGTTTTTTGAGATTATTACATTTTACATTGGATTCAGGAACATAGTAACAGATAACATTATATATAATTGATTGGAAGGTGGAATATAGTTGGTTTATATCAGTGCATTGTGTGAATATTAGATTCCAGTTTATTGTTGAAAAATGTGCATTAATTATTTCATAGTTAGCTTTACGAAAGTTAGGAAATTTATATGAATTATCTTGGTGGTTGTTAGTGGAAGAGATTCCAAATTCTATTGTATTGTGGTCCGAGTTACTTATTGGTGGATTAATAGTTATAGTTTTTATTAAATCCTCTTTATTAGTTATTAGTAAGTCTAATATTTTTACTCCTCTAGTAGGTTTATCAATTTTTTGCTTTAATCCTAGACTTTGAATATATTCTAAAAATAATGTTTCTTTGGTATTTTTAGTCTGTGTACTATAATTATCCCAATCAATATTGGGTAGGTTAAAATCTCCTAGTAAGATTAGTGGGTAGGATACAGCAGATATATCATATAAGCTTTGTAAGATTGATTTGAAATCCTTAATGGTTTCTTTAGTACTTGATCTATATATCAAGATAATGCGTATTTTTTCAGTTGGGGTTAATAAGTCTACGCAAGATATTTCGGATGTTGTGTTTGGGATTTCTATTTTAATTTAGAGGGATAGGACACGAAATTTAGAGGGATAGGACAAGGAATGGTCCCAGACCCAGTGGGCGTAGGTCCCTAACATGAAGAAATGTTTTGTAACCGTACCCCAACTTTGCAACGCCAAGAAAAATCAAATTTTTTTGATTGGATTCATAAAGTGTGATTCCGCAAATTTTGATTAATTCCGAAATTGTATAAAAGTCGATTGGTCGTATATTGTGTAATAGAGCCATAGATTCGTACTAGATATTTCTAAAAATATCAGTATGTCTCTAATCTTAACTAAAAGGGTATCACATAGGCTCCGCCAGTTAATGATCAAACAAAACTACAGCTTAATTGTAAAAACTCGAATATCGAATTTTAGAAGACCTAAAATCGAAACTCGATATTTATTTAATTAATTTAGAAGCAAATTTATTTATTTTTATTTATTTATTCAAAAAAAAATAAAATTTGAATGAAAGGTTTTATCACATGATAAATGTTTTATCACTTGATAAAATTTTTATACCCGATGTAATCCGACCAAGGATCATGCGTCCTCGCTTTCCAAAAACCACAAAATTTATTTTTTATGTGGGCACGATCCTCGATATTGACTAGATATTTTATTTAAATTTATTTACATTTTAATTCAGAAAATTTAATCGTTCTCTTATTTCTTCTCCTCATTTGATTATAAATTGTCTGTAAAATTTAAATTTTTTTTAATTTTTAAAATTGAAAAACTACTCACTTGGGGCCAATTTTTATAATATTCTAAACTCAATTTCCTCTCAGAATTTATTTTTTGTCTTTCTTTTAATTTTTTATGCCAACATTTAATTACTCCAAAATCATATCCAGGCATCATTTTGTTAATAAATAAATGTGGAATATTGAAAATATTTTCTGAAGTAAGGTCCTCTAATCCAAACACACAAACATCATGTCGAATATTTCCACTCAAACAATTTGTACTTCCCCATAAAGCATACCTTTAATTTTTTTATAATTTATCTTATTTAAAAAGATTTTGAAGAATAATATTTTTATAAATAAATTTATTTTTTACATTTTCGAAACAAAACTAATAGTATCGAAGATTTAATATTCCATATTTTTTGGTAAGTCTAAGTAAATCAGCTGGGCTATTTATTTCCCTTCTCAGACTAATGCAAAAGGTTATTCTGCGGCTGGGAGCGAACCAGCATCTTCAGTAGACCGGACTGATATGTTAAGCCATTACACCACGCCGCCTACTGCACAGCCTTTGGAATTAAATAGCTTTACATCTATGTGATCGTTCTCCTTTTAGTTTTTACACATGTCATAAAACTATTTGTAATTCAAGAAATCCGGGCACTGGTTTGGGGATAATTCATTCTATTTTAGATACCGGAATTAAAATTAATGTAAATAATATTCTCAATATTCCTTCCTCTAATACAAAGCCCGAATACACACCCTATTATTTTAAGTAAGCTATTATTGTCTTCAAAAACCTTATTAAAATTTTGATAAATTAATATTCTAGAACTACTTGATAAACATCCAAAAAATTTATAATATACAAAAAATTATTATAAATCTTCAGAGATTCAGGGACTTTAATCTCAACAAATCCAAAATCCAAAATCAACACAATTTTCAAATACATCTTTAATTACCTAGTAATAAAAGGTGTTGTATATCCAAAACCATAACATTGTTCAGTAAATCCACCGGGAGCATTTAAATTATCAGAAATACTTAAAGATTGCCACAAATGTTCATCCACCCCAAATTCAGCTTTATTTAATTGTTCTAATAATATTTCCAAATTTAATTCATTTATAATAAAATCAACAAAAGCTCTCGAAAGCGAATCTTCGATCTTTCGGACCGGGCCGGATCGGGCCCCTTAACTAAAAGGGTATCAATCTTAACTAAAAGGGTATCACATAGGCTCCGCCAGTTAATGATCAAACAAAACTACAGCTTAATTGTAAAAACTCGAATATCGAATTTTAGAAGACCTAAAATCGAAACTCGATATTTATTTAATTAATTTAGAAGCAAATTTATTTATTTTTATTTATTTATTCAAAAAAAAATAAAATTTGAATGAAAGGTTTTATCACATGATAAATGTTTTATCACTTGATAAAATTTTTATACCCGATGTAATCCGACCAAGGATCATGCGTCCTCGCTTTCCAAAAACCACAAAATTTATTTTTTATGTGGGCACGATCCTCGATATTGACTAGATATTTTATTTAAATTTATTTACATTTTAATTCAGAAAATTTAATCGTTCTCTTATTTCTTCTCCTCATTTGATTATAAATTGTCTGTAAAATTTAATTTTTTTTTAATTTTTAAAATTGAAAAACTACTCACTTGGGGCCAATTTTTATAATATTCTAAACTCAATTTCCTCTCAGAATTTATTTTTTGTCTTTCTTTTAATTTTTTATGCCAACATTTAATTACTCCAAAATCATATCCAGGCATCATTTTGTTAATAAATAAATGTGGAATATTGAAAATATTTTCTGAAGTAAGGTCCTCTAATCCAAACACACAAACATCATGTCGAATATTTCCACTCAAACAATTTGTACTTCCCCATAAAGCATACCTTTAATTTTTTTATAATTTATCTTATTTAAAAAGATTTTGAAGAATAATATTTTTATAAATAAATTTATTTTTTACATTTTCGAAACAAAACTAATAGTATCGAAGATTTAATATTCCATATTTTTTGGTAAGTCTAAGTAAATCAGCTGGGCTATTTATTTCCCTTCTCAGACTAATGCAAAAGGTTATTCTGCGGCTGGGAGCGAACCAGCATCTTCAGTAGACCGGACTGATATGTTAAGCCATTACACCACGCCGCCTACTGCACAGCCTTTGGAATTAAATAGCTTTACATCTATGTGATCGTTCTCCTTTTAGTTTTTACACATGTCATAAAACTATTTGTAATTCAAGAAATCCGGGCACTGGTTTGGGGATAATTCATTCTATTTTAGATACCGGAATTAAAATTAATGTAAATAATATTCTCAATATTCCTTCCTCTAATACAAAGCCCGAATACACACCCTATTATTTTAAGTAAGCTATTATTGTCTTCAAAAACCTTATTAAAATTTTGATAAATTAATATTCTAGAACTACTTGATAAACATCCAAAAAATTTATAATATACAAAAAATTATTATAAATCTTCAGAGATTCAGGGACTTTAATCTCAACAAATCCAAAATCCAAAATCAACACAATTTTCAAATACATCTTTAATTACCTAGTAATAAAAGGTGTTGTATATCCAAAACCATAACATTGTTCAGTAAATCCACCGGGAGCATTTAAATTATCAGAAATACTTAAAGATTGCCACAAATGTTCATCCACCCCAAATTCAGCTTTATTTAATTGTTCTAATAATATTTCCAAATTTAATTCATTTATAATAAAATCAACAAAAGCTCTCGAAAGCGAAGCTGCCGAATAGCCTTTACTTATAGTTAAAATCTTTGGTGAATTAATGCCAAAAATATTTTGTGATTCTCCTCTATTTTTTGAATCTGTAATTTAAAATTATTCCAATATTTAAAAATAAATATTTATGCAGATCACCCGGTTAAATAAATTATATAAAGTGCTATTATTTTTTTAGTCTTATAGGTAAGTTACCATTCATTCATTAGGAGGTTTATCCAACATTTTTAGCAAAATACGAATATTTAATTAGGTTTACACAGCAGACTAGCGCAGGAAAAAGAAGGAGAGAGAGCTAAGTGGATAAAGCCGGTTTAGAAATTCAATGTTAGTTCAATTAATTTAAGAAATCATTTTTACAAGTTAGATTTAAAATTCCCAAGATATTTTCTATTCGAGGCATACACCTTTGGATATATACCCTTAGCTTATTTATATAAATTTTAGAACCCATTATGAACTAATTTTAAATTTAATTATTTAATAATTTACATTAAATATTTTAAATTATACCATTTTTGTAAAGTTTCAATTCCTCAAAAGACCAAATAAAATTAATCAAATAATATCTAATCCTTTCATCCGCATCTGAATTAACACAAATTTCAATATCATTAGCTCCATCCAATAGAGTAAAAATCCGAACCATTTCTGCATTTGTTTTTGCTTGAATATCGTGATTCTAATAAATATTTTTAGAATTTTAAATATTTATGTATTTTTGGCAAAATAATTGTATCTATGGCAACAGACTGTTAACTTTTATTTTAAATTTTTGGACAAGAATTTAACTAATTTTAAAAGAAATAACGATTAAGTCAATGATATTTTGTGGAGACAAGCCATAGATTCTGAAGTGAATAGGCTCAGCTAAGAAACCCAAATTTCTGTACTTAGCGACCATAATCAGTTTCTCAAGTTTAAAATGGCTAGGGTTGGGGTTTTCGAGTTGGGCCGACGTTCGAATCATTCTTTTCGGGCCTCGTTTTTTTCGGGCCGGCCCGACCGAGTTTTTTTCGGGCCAAAATTCGATGCCCGACTCGATCTTTCGGACCGGGCCGGATCGGGCCCCCAACCCTAAAAATGGCGCCAGTTTCCCGAAAAATTCTGATCACCAAATTTTATCTTTGGTAGCACCAAAAATTACTAGGTATTTTTTATCCTATTCAAAATTTGAATTTTTATCATTCCAAAATATTTTCTTTCCAAAGAATTTCCACCTGTAAATTAATTAAATAATTCCAACGTCTCTCAGGTTTTGCCAAAATATTAGCACATTCTATCATTGCATTATTTGTATTATGCCCAGCTCTAGAAATATTAAATCTCTTTTCTGCTACAATTATATTTGGAAAACATTTTGCTAATCTTTGTAGTCTTGAATAAAATAAAGGCGAGGATTTCGAGTCAACAACATAACAATACCAATTTTCTGGGGTGTAATGCAATGCTAATTCAATTTCAAGTAGTAAATAGTCCTAAATAGAAAATTGTCAGAGTGGTTTTTCTTGATCAGGAGAAGAATTTGATAAGAAAATAATAAATTTCAAATAAAAATTATTTAATGGAATATGTACTGCAGAGATAACTCATTGGGGAAAGGAGAGAAGTAAAACATGTTAAAAGAAGGCAAACCACCCATCTAGCAACTAAGGTTGTCGGATAGTTGGAAATCTTAGGATATCCGGATCCAAACCAAAAATTCCCTGATATCCGGCCTTTTTTTCCGACACCCTTACTAGCAACAACAAATCATTTTACTTTAATCTTTGGCTCTTGTCCAGTTTATGCGTCCCATGAAAGTATATGCGTCCCATCAACAAAAAATTGGATATTTCTTGGTGTTGCAAAGTAGGGGTATGGTTCCAAAGCATTTCTTCGTGTTCGGGATCTACGTCCACTGGGTCTGGGACCGTTCCTTACCCTATCCTTCGAAATTTCTGAAAGTTATAGCCAATTTTTAAAAATTTCAGAAAAACGATTTTAACTTTCAGAAATTTCGAGGTATAGGGTAAGGAACGGTCCCAGACCCACTGGACGTAGATCCCGAACATGAAGAAATGCTTTGGAACCATACCCCTACTTTGCAACACCAAGAAAAATCCAATTTTTTGTTGATCGGACGCATATACTTTCATGGGACGCATAAACTGGACAAGAGTCTAATCTTTTTACACATTCATATTCTTCTTAAAATTAAGGTTGGTCCACAACCCCGATATTCCCACATCCCAATCAGGGATGAACGCAAATAAAAAAATTTCCTGCATCCGCAACCCGCAGTTTTAATTCTAAAATCCGCAGCCACAATCCGCAAGTCAAATAAACACGCAATTTTAAGCAATACTCCCTGATCCCCACATCCCATTTCCCTCAGTTCATTTCCCGACATCTCTGTTCCTCGAATAAGTTCCTCTCGAAGGATCGAGGAACAATTCTGCTTCAAATACACCCTTCTGTTTCTTGTAGTCCCTCCACTACATATTATTACTTCAAATTAAATTTCTACCTTATAAACAACTCTAGTAAAAGCTAAAGGAAAATTTTTTTCTTCTTTAGTAGTTTTCTTATTCCAATATTTATTCATTCCATTTCTATTTTGAATATTTAAACAATCCATTGGAAGATTTTCTTCTTCTAACGGATCTCCAATTTGAATTTTATTCATTGCCGCATACACAAAATCTCCCCCAAAAATTCTCTCACAATCCAAATCCTCCCATTTACTCTCCCAATCAGAACTCCATTCAACAATTAATTCTTCCTCTTCTTTAACTTCATATTGAATTGTTGTAGAAGATAAAATTGAATTTTTAATATTTAAAATTAAAGTATTGATAATTATGTAGTTAAAAATTAAAAAGCTGAGAAAAAATAATAAAAGCAATTCTTTCCGATAAAATTCTATTCTCGTTGAATGTTTTAAATTTGAAAAGCCAAACATTTTTTCTTTAAAAATAAATTGTTATCTGAATATATTTTATCACAAATAGGTAGTTTAATTGTAAGAAAGAAGCAGAGGTGGGTCGGAACAGTCAGAGGTGTTGGAAATCAGAATTCCAAGTTCCGATTTCCAAGTTCCGATTTCCGATTTCCGAAAAAAATTTTGATTTCCGATTTCTGAGTTCCGACTTTTGATCCAGTTCCGATTTCCGTCTCTTCCGATTTCCAACACCTCTGACTGTTTCGACCAACCTCTGGAAATAAGTGAAAGTGTATTACGAATTTTATTACCAAAAGGTTTTTACTAATTTATAAATATTCTATTATAGTTAAAAAGATTTATTAAATAAAAGATGTTGGCAATTTTAATAATAAATAAAGTCAAATTTTGATTAATTTTAAAAATTATTTTTGTTTAAGATTTTATTAGAAAATTTAAAAAATAAACATTCAACGATAAAAACTCGAAAAATTGGTCCTATCTCTAATTAGTATCCATTTCAATACTAAACCAGACTTTTTAGAAATAAAAAAAGAATTGCGAATTTAAAATAGGTATTTTTAGAATGAACTTTTGTTCTTGTACATATTTTAAAGAATAAGTATGTATTTTTTATTAAAACATTTAAATCTTTTAAGGACACAATAAATAATAAAATTATTTGCCTATTTACATACATAACTGAATAATAAAAAATCGGCCACATTTATTTTACATAAAATATTTAAAAAATAAGAGAATTTAGGGAATGTTTGGGAATATTGTTGGATCTGGGTTATAATCCAGAATGTTTTATTATTCATCAGATTTTGATCGAAAAGTCAGGATTTTGTGGAACTACATTCTGCAGTTCTTCATCTTCCTATACCGCATTGAACATGAGACAAATCAAAGACGATTTCAGACAATAATAATGTGATAAATAAATAAAATAAACGTAAACAAACGATTTCCTTAACATAATTTAAAAATTGTAAAAGTGTCTTTTAAGGTGATTTGGGAGTGAGTCAATAAATTGGGATATATCAAAAGTGACTAGGAGTCGACTAAAATGTTCAGGGGTTGAATTGCGCATATGTTGAGGAATAAATTTATATATCCGAGCAGTCCTAACGAAAAAGGAGTGGAATCAAATTCAGTTTTATGAACTGAATCGAATAGTACAAAAAAGGGAGCTGTTCCAAAACAAAATCTTCAAAAATTAGAAATCGAAAGGAGTTAGAAAATATCGAAAATTCAAACATTTCTGGTTATGATCGCTAACTGAAATTTCATTTAGTGAAGTAATTTCGGGTACCCAAATTTGGTAATTAATAATTAGTTTTTAAAATTTAAATGTCAGATTAAAATTCTAATACGAAAGAGCATTTTCATATTTAAATACATAAAATATGAAAAAAGAAAAAAAACAACGAACTATTGATAATAAATAAAATTTTACTGAGGTTTTTTCATCGATTTTTTAAAAATATTTTGGGTGTGTGTGGTTATTTAAAATGAATACCTACCCATTATTAATTCATACAAAATTTATGAGAGATAAAAGTTTTCTAAAAATAATTTTTTCTAAACTACAAAAATCTCTCTCAAATAAATTCCATTTATAAATAATCCACATCTGTGAGTAAAGATTATCCACACATCTCTTTCAAATATACTGCAAGTTTTTTATGGGTATACCCCAATACCGCAAGCCCAACCTAACAACGAGCTATAACTTTGTTCAAAATGGTCGAATCCGTGGCGCCCTGGTATGGTTCGATGCGGCTCGACCAGCTGAATCGAACCATATAAGGGCGCCAAGGATTCGAAAATTTTGAACAAAGTTATAGCTCGGCGGTAAGTTGGGTCGCGGTGCACTGGCCCCTGTTCTCTTTTTTAATTACCAACAAAAAATTCAAATTCAATCTTCATTCCACCGTCACTATTTTCAAAGATTAAAATAAATAAATGGATATTTTATATTGCGAAATAACAAATTTAGATAAATTTAGGTATATCTATTTTTCCTTGCAAGGGAAAATATTTTTCTTCCAATTATTTTCTTTCTAGAAATAAATTTACTCGTCATCAAATCTAGAAATAAAATTTAAAAAAATATTTTTTTAAATTTTAAACTCTCTTTTTTAATTTTTTGATCAAACATCTGTTCATTAATCTCTCTCTTATTGAGGGGGCGTAAAGCCTTACAAACCATTTCTTTTTAATCAATTAAAGCCTAAATCGGTTTCTTAAATGTTTATATAAAATCAAAACATTTTTCAATTATTTATGTAATTTTTAAAAAAAATGTTTCCACCACCGGCAAAAAAGACATTTTGTTCAATTTGTAATAATGAAGTTGACACTTTTGATCAAAAAGTTGCCTTAGAAAGACATGTCGGTAAGACTTAATTTTATTTGGATAAATATCTGTCTGAAGCTGCCCTTTGTATTATCATTTTTATGCGTTTGGAATTAAAACAAGGCAACAAAAAATTTTTATTTATGGATCAGAGACCGGATTGGGAGCATCGTACGAGATATCTCAAAAATATCAATCTTGATACCCAATATTTTTGTCCTCTGTTACCCGCCTTAGATATTATTTTTTCCTCAGTATCTGAATTAACACCTTTATTTTATCAAAATCTATAATCAATTTTTCTAGTCCATAAAGAATGCTTTCGTTGTGGTATTTGTGATGTACAACTAAATCAAGGTTCCTGTTCTTTTGACCACATTCTCTATCGCCATTATGGGCCAATGTGGTTTTGTCCAGCACATAAAATGCTTGGATCTGGAGAGAAATTTGAATTATTAAAAGCAAAATATGGAGAGCCTAAAGGTTTAAAACAATAAAATGATTGAGAATTTAAACAAAATAATTTTTGGCGATGAGATTTTAAAAGGGAATTTTGTATAAATTTATTTCAAAAAATTGTTAGAGTTAAAATGATAAAAAAAATTCTTCAACAAGTCCTTTCTAGCAGACTGATGAGTTGAACGATATTAGGTACTACTGAAGAAAAGGGTGCTTTTTCTGCGGATTTATTTTGCGGACTTTTCCTTTCCTTCTTTTTCCCTTTTTTTTAAAAGATAATGTTTTAGCTTGTAGCAAACTAACTGTCAAAGGATTAATTTTTATTCGCACAAATATTTTTGATTATTTGTTATTTGTGAAATTAAATGAAAAAAACAGTCATCTCCTCCAAATTTCTGTTTCCATACAAACTCATTCATATAACTTTCAAACGTTGTTTCAGCAGTACCAAATTCAGTTTTATGTCGTCTTTTCAATTTTTGCCATAGGCATTCAATATTCTGGGTGTGTATTTTTTTGTTGTCCGAGATCAGTGATCCATTGTTGAAATTCATCATTGGGTAATTTAATTTTATCATACAATTTAGTTAAAGTAAAATTTTTTATTGATTGTAACATTTTTTTCGTTTATAATGTTTAAATTATTTGTGAACGACATTTTTCAGACCGGCATAAAAAATAATCCGTTGACTGTTAGTTGCTATAAGCAAAACATTTAAACAGAAATGAAAAAAATAAAATTAATCTTCTCTGTATCAATGTCTTTTGTTTGAATATGCCACACGGCAAATAGAGGAAAAGAGAAAGAAGAAAATCTGACCATTGTGTACAATCTTAGGTAAGAAAAATAATGGGGGAGGGCCGTTGACAGTTAGTTGCTACAAGTAAAACATGTAAAGGAAAGGAAAAGTCCGCAAAATAAGTCCGCAGAAAAAGCACCCTTTTCTTCAGTAGTACCCGATATTATACATATACAGGTAGCTGATGAAAATATTAAAAATGGGAACTTTTAGTCTTAATCGTCGACTTTTCAAAGCGTGAAAAAGTTCAAGTGTTTAGGAGGTATCATCCAGAAATTATTTTAGAGGTCGATGTTTGTTTAAACAAACAGCAAAGAAAACTAAATACTATATGTACAGTATAGATCGGCTTGGATCTGGATCAAGACCGATTTTTCATGAATCCAGAGTACAGATCAAGGCATTTTTCAGTGTTCCATGATTTTTCTTTGACTCAAAGACAAGAATCTGGTCAAGGTTCCCATCCAAAATCATCCGGATTTCTAATATTCACCCCTATTATTTGAAAGAATATTTTCTGCTTAAAATTTGAGTTGAGCCCAAAAAATTCAGGAAACGTTACAAAATTACTACATATTCTATAACCTTAATAAAGGAAGAATAGAAAACATCTTGACTATTATACATACTAATCGCTTTATCGTTTAACTAATTTAGTTAAAATACACTTTTAATAAATTGATAGATCTCACAGTTAAAGCAAATGAATAAATATATAAATCAAAAATATGTATGATGTGTAGTTTTGTTAAATAAAGAACTGGATTGGTAGTGAGGGAATGTGGTTAGATATCAGGGATGTGCCGTTTCGCCTTACATCTTTCGTCAGATTTTCGCCTTTTTAAACTTTCACCTTTCATGTTTTGCTTTTTAAAATTTGTTTCGGCACACCCCTGTAAGATATACATACTCTACATATTTATTGTTAAAAAATAGTTGTGAATTGCAAATATAATTTCTCTTGGCCTCCAAATCCAACTATTTTCCATATCACTTGACGCGCCTAAAAATTTTTTTGATTTTAAGTATTTTTAAGATATTAGAGCGTTCATTAAACTGGAACTGAACGGAAAAATGCGATACTGGATAAGAAATACCATTTTAAATAACCAAAAAATATAGGGATTTTTGTAGCATTTAGAGAAACTAAATCAGAAAATTTTGTTTTATCGACACATTTTATTTTAAAAACTTAATTTCTTACATTTTATCGTCGATTACCACCAAATATCATGAGAATAAACCAGAAGATTTGGACAATATCCATAAAGAGAGCAAGAACTGCAAAAATATACTCTTCTGGAGAAAGCTCATACTTCTTTCCACCCATTATCATCTGAAAAATTGTTTAATTAAAGAAAAATTTTTATTAAACCAAAAAAATTTTATCAAACCTGAATATCAATAGCAAGCCAAATCAAAAATAAGAATGCCCCGATAGTTGCATAGACCACATAGAGAGTACTAATTTGCCAGCTGAATATACCGATTAAAGCAATTATGAATCCGAACATTGCAAGACAAAATGTTGCCATACACATAATTCCCATACAACTTAAAACGAAATTTTAATTAAATTTTATAATCGTAGTTTTTAGATAGTCTTCGATCTTGCTTCAGACTATATTTTCTAGACACAAGTTTGGACAAAAACAAGAAATGAAATCAATATATTATTTAAAACACCCAATAATGATCGAAATTCATTGTAATCTTGACAAAACAATAAAACCGTTAAAATTTAATTTCACAATTTATCCCCACTCAAACTTAAATCCTGTCAATCTCGTAAAATTACAAAAATTATTTTAAAAAACCTAGTCAAATCTCTGTCAGTGACGGTAGCAAAAAGAGAAACGCCACCACAAGCAGCAGCCGTTATCATAAAACACATGAGAACGCTCGAAAAGTTATTATATGCAGTTATCTCCATATTCAAGAAGCCGATTGAAACAGTCTAAAATATAATTTGAAGAGAAAAAAATTAAAAAAACAAACCAGTATAGCCAAGCAAATAATGTTCGTAGGGAAAGAACGGCGAACAGACTCACAGCAAATCAATGCGATATATACGATAAGGAAGGTAACACTAAAATGTTGGATTTTAAGGAAATCTAAATGAACTTTACAAAACATAGATTAAGAAAGGGAATCTTAAAGGTATCAGAAAGAAAAACAATTTTGTCTTTAATTCCCGATTTATATAAAAATTTTTAAATAAAATTTAAAAACAAACTATGCAAGCAAATAAAGAACAAAATTTCCACGAACAAATTGCATCGTCGGTTCATGGAAAAACGGAAAAGCGCCCATCATTGCCACAACACTGAGCTGCAAAAAAGAAACATTAGTGAAGTTGTTCGGATTTCCAATTTGATCTTTCAATAAATGAGGCCTGGACGAGAGGAAGGAGAAAGACGGAAAGAATTTAAAGTACTAACTGTAAGAAGTCATTCCAACAAACCAAAAATTCCAAGAATCTACCCCCTACTCGAACTTAATAGTAGAGATCGAGATTCTTAAAAAGCCTGGGCCCGTTCCTGGACTCCCGATTTGATTCAATGACCTGGACCGGATCTTGGGCCTGTAGTCCAGGAAAAACCCTGGCCCAGGAAAAACCCAGGAAGGTACTGCCTGGACATGGACTCTTGGAAAGGAAAATCCCAGGTATTGGCCATTGTCTACTTAACAGAAATACAAAACAAACCATGACTGCGACAAGAATGAAGACTTTTCGAACAAAAGCAGCACGAATGGACTGCTCGTTGAAGTTCATTGTGTATTTGGGCGCTCCAGTATCTCCCCCTTGTTCAGCTTGATGAGGAGTTGAACCATATTGGGGAGCTCCATATTGGGGAGCTAAAAGAATTATTAAATAAAATATAAAATTAAAAACCAGGATATTGAACATTCCATCCAGGCTGTTGTGGATAAGACATTATTTTAGTTGTAATTAATTGTTGAATAAATAATTCTAAATTTTGAATTAAAAATTAGTCAAATTAATTATTGGCAAAGAAAAAAGTTTGACAATAAGGATAAAAAAATTCGATGACTAATGCAAAAATAAAACGAACAAAAACAAAAAGCGAGAAAGCTAGAAAAGACTAGAAATTTCGAAATCATTGATGACGACAATAGAACATTTTGACAATTAGTCTAAAGGACAATTGGACAGAAGACTTTTAGGCAAATGACAATTGGACTGTGAGTCCTTTCTGAAAGGATCTTATAAATTATAAATACTACCGTACCAGGGGTGTGCCAGTTTCGCGTTTCGCCTTTCGCGTATTTTGGACTTTCGCTTTTCGCGTTTCGCTTTTTAAATTTAATTTAGCCCTTCTTCGCCTTTTGCTTTCTAAAATCTTTTTAGACACACCGCTGTACCATACCTAGTACGATACGTTTCAAGATGATACGGACCCCCTGTTTTTAAAAACTTAGTCTCAAACATCAAGAGGAAATTTGGAAGCTACAATAACCGGCTCGTGGTCCCTGACTCGTGTTTAACCAGGGCTGCCATCTGGAAAATGTTAAATGTAAGTACAAAAAGTTCAATTTGGAATTACATAGGGGAAGAAATTTTCAAAATATAAGTACGCTCCGAAAATACAATCTAAAACATATACTTTTGCTCAATTAGTTTAGATTCGTATCTAAATGAGTTTTTTAAGCGCCGCAGGCAAAAATTTTGAAAATTCTGGTAGTCCATAAGCCAGATTGCTTTCATTTTTTGCGCCGCAGGCGTAAATTTTGAGAATTTTGGAGGTCCTTAAGCCAGATTTCTTCCATTTTTTGCGCCGCATGCGAAAATTTTGGAAATTTTAAGGTTAAATTTAATTTTTTAACCAAAAAGTCTATTTGTAAGTACGTACTTACAAATAAGTACATTTTCAATTTCGTAAGTACGAAGGTCGATTTGTAAGTACTGTACTTCCAAAATAAGTACATCTGGCAACCCTGTGTTTAACTTATTGTGATTAACATCTTGCGTTTAGTAAGCCATCGTTCGAGATAAGTCCACATTCGATTTAAAAATTTTTAATCGAATCATTTTAAAAATGTACTTTTACTTTTTCAATATAAAGTACAAGAAAAAATGTCTCTGGAAATTTAAATATTAATTTCATTAATAAAAATGTTTTAAAAAGTTTGCGGACAAATTTTGCGGACTTTAGGGAATTTCATATAAAATCTCCGCCATCTCTTTGTTGAAAAATTCCTGAAGGTCAACAGCAAACCAGATTCTTTTTTTGACCTTGGTTTGCGTATCTCATCTCTCTTCAACTTTTCTTCCTTCAGAAAAGATATTTCATGTAATTCAAGCAATTTCTCATCAAAATACTTTCTCTACTAATTAATAAAATGTTTAAAATAATTATTTTTATTTTTATTTATTTTCCATTTCCTGTTAATTTTTCTCCTCTATCTGATTTTATTGATGAAGAGAATGATATGTTAGTTCTTGTCCCTCTTGGTGAGGACCCAAAAACAGCAAAAAATCGGATAATTATTCCACAAGGTTTTCACACTTGTTGCTTCTTTAAATTATAACAAATTGAAGAAATTATTAGCTTAATAAAGGGATTTCCCTAAATTTCTTTATTTAACACTTATTTTGCTAAATCTTTTGAATTTACAATTAATTATTTCTATTTTTTTTCACATTTAAAGTGAAGGGAAACCATCGCCTCGCAGTATTGCCATGTCTAATTGCTGGGCTAGGAATTTATGAGCATGGAAAGACATTTACAAAGGGCAACTTTCATTATAATTGTAAAAACGGCACTGCTGAAGTTATTGGTATGTTTGAATTTAATAATGGGGTTGGAGGATGCGAGTGTTTCTAAAGGAAGGATTTACCACGAAAAATGGGGAATCGTTGCTTATCGTCTAAAAAAATTCGGCAAAAATTCTGAAAAGTTTAAATAAAATTAATAACTGAAAATTAAAAAAGGAGGAATTTGTATTTTAAACGATTAATGGCATTTAAAAATGGATATATTTTTTATTTTTAAAAGGAGACATTCTCAATTAGAGAGCGCCGGCCTGGGTCTGGATCAAGGCCAGGGTTTTTCCTATACCCAGAGTCCAGGCATTTTTTTGACCTTCCTGGGTTTTTCCTGGAATACAAACTCAGGATCCGCCCAGGTCAATAAATCAAACCCCAGAGTCCAGGAACAGGTCCAGGCTTCAAAAAGTCAGATCTCTATTCTCAATTAAAAGGAGGAAAGCAAATATACCCAAATATCTATTGAATTTAATAAAAAAGATATTTTAAAATTTATAGCATGTGTTTCGGATGATATGTCCGTTATTCAGGTACTATTAATTAATAAAAATTAAATAAAAATAAAAAGATTGGAAGGACATTTCTCAAAGAAGGAATTAGACATCGTTGTGAAGTGAAAGGACAAACTGTTACTTACGAACAAAGTTTGGGGGAGAAATAATTAACAAATAAATTTATATTTAATTTATTAGAATCAACATGTTATGAAAATGGAATACATTATGATATTGGTGTTTAAATAAATTTTATAACTTTTGATAGGGTTTATCTGGCCATATTTTCTTTTTTTCAGACATTCTCCCTGTCCCAAAAGAACAATCTTTATTAATTTTTTATGGGAAATAAATTCGTGCTATTAACTTTTAATCCAGTGCTATTGACTTGAAGCCTCAAGAAAGGCTTTGAGTTAATAGCACGGGACTTAAATAAATATAAAACAAAATATGGGCGGATAACTCGATATTACCTAATTTTTTAATTTAATTTTATTAAAGGTGATACATTTAAAAACGGCTCCTTTCAACTTATTTGTAAAGAAAATGGAGTTGCTGTAAAAGGTAGTGAATAGCCATGCTCAGATTTTGCATACACCCTTAAGTCAGAAAAAATTAAACCCCAAAATTGAAATTGTATCCATTATTGAGAGTATCCCCTAGGCACCCCTGACATCCAATGGCCAGTATGAAGCTGAAAATTAAATAAAAGGAACCGAACTTGAATCGAGGTTATATCCATCCGACTATTCAAAATTATTTTAAATATATTTTAAAATTTTTTATGTTGTTTTCTGCTTAACTCAACTAAGGAAGCTGTAATTTTACTTGGTGAATCGAGAATTGTATTTGATAGAAGGCATAGTTGTGAATTAACTGAGAATGGAAAAATACGCTATATAATTAATTGTAAATAAGTTTTTGATTATTTTGGAAATTTGATTAAGCTTTCTATTACGTCTATGAGGCTAAATTAATCTTGAATAACTTGAATGGTGAGGGCCGGATTTCGAAAATTCCTCGGGTCGAACTTCGTGTCGTAAAAAAGCTTACTTATTGTAATGTATACCATTCCAGTTTAGGATTCAGCCAAAGTCCCCAAGATGTGTGAGGATTTTTTCTTGGAGCTATCATCTCCAGTGCCAACACACAGTATCTAAAAACCCCCATAACCTCTGTCCTCTTGAAAACACCCCTCATTTTCATAAATGCCAAACCCTATACCAACTCCTTAATTGTTTTGGATAATACATATAACCTTTACTATTTTAATAGTTATTGGTTGCTTTAACTCAAATGGAAGTGCTGAATACAAGCCAGGACAAATTTGGACAGAAAAGCATATTCGTTATCAATGTAGCAGGGAAGGAATGACCAAAGTTTTAGGTGAATTTAAATGAAAAATTTACTTAAAAAATATTTGAAGGATGTGTTGACGGAAATGGACTTTTTATTGAACTTGGACATGATGTTTTGATGGGCGGTACTGTCCATCGTTGTTATAGAATTAAAAACACAACCTTTTATCATCGGTAAACACTCGTTTTATTAAAACCAAAATTCGGACACCACGGTCTCCAAAAATTTTTAGGTTTATTATCCGGTTTACCGTGTGTCCTCTGTCCGAGTCCTGATTTTGATAAAACACGTATACATTAGTGATGGTCGAGACTCTGTCTCGTTTCTCAATTCGGGAAATTTCTCGGGTTTTTTGAGCTCTCGGTCTCGGGGTTGCTTCACAGTCTCGACTCGGCTTTTTTACTCCCGATTAATTAGTATACATATGATTTTGGTCAAAACTTATTTTTTAATTAAATACAGTTTTCAATGTCAAAAAGATTTTTCATTAACTGAATGTGTACATGCAAATTTTCTTCCAACTCAGGAACCTCAAAGCGAGAAGAGTGAAATTAATGTTGTTGAACTTAAAAATAGTAAATAAAATATTTAAATTTTGTTTTTAATAATTTTTATATTATTGAATTTTTAATTTATTTAATTATTTATTATTAATTTTGCTTTAAATAATTTATTAATTAATATTTTTATTTCCTTTATAATTTAATAATTGTATTCTTTTATGTTGTATTCTTTCTTTTATTTCGGTTTGGGTTGGATATTAAAAAAGCTGGATTAATACCCAACAGATTTTATACACGTTAAATAGAGCAAATTTTATATACGATTCATGAAATTTAAATGGAGTTCCTTAAATCGATTTTTAACTGAGAAAATTAGCATTTCATTTTACATTCTTTTGTCCCTATCATTTTGACCACCACTGTTTGAGCTAACTCCTAAATAATATTTCTCTAAGATGGTCATCTACTTATTAGAGGATATACGTATACGTACTCTTATTTGGGGTTCTTCTCACTTGTGAATTCGGGTTTTAATTTGATTAGACGTCGGCCCTCTTCACTTAATTACGAAAAGAATATCTTTCCAATACAAAATATTTACTTGCATTAAATTAATTAAATTTAAAAAATATTAAAAATATAATTTCTTTTCCTGTCAATAACTTTCAATTTGGAATGATACTAAATTAAATAAAAAATAAAATTAATTTAGAAAACTATATTATTTTCTTAAATATTTTCTTTTTTCTTGTTCAACACATTAACTAATTATTTTTAAAAAATCTTTTTTTTCCATTTTTCCTTATAAATAATTAAATTTCACGCCTTTATTGTCTCTAAACAAAAAATAATATTTATAATGACTTTTGTCAAATTAATAATTCCTAGGCCAAGTTAACAAGCAAAAAAACATTCCTGTCCTTTTTACAAGTTTTTTGAACATACTTGACAATTTTTTTTGTTTTTATATTTTTTGGCATGGCGTGAGTTAAAACAATTCTTTTAAAGAATTATTTTCTTGTGGATATTCTTTGCTTATTTTACTACTTAATTCCATCTGAGATTCACTTTGATAATTATTTCCGGATACAGCCCAAAACGGCGCGCGGCCATAACGGCGCAAGGCCATAAATTGCTGGAAAATGTATGGCTCATGTCAATTTTGATACCAATCTCCCTAGCTCGATGAGAGTAATCGTTTGATACTAAATCCGGTAAGATTAGGAAATCAAGAAGCAAGTTATGGCTTTGCGCCGTTTTGGGCGTATCCTTATTTCCCTATATATATTTTATTAACTTTCTATTAAATTTTTATTTTTTGCAATCATCGAAGCCTGAAATTTTTTTTGAAATTGAAAAATTTTTTGCAATCATATTTTGAAACCTAGCTTTATGTTTGCTTCTCCATTTATTTCCACAATAAAAAGTTTTGCTCTGTAAATGACATTATTCTTACATTAATTTGTAAGTGTTCCTCTACCTTCTCTTATTTCTAATATCCACGTTCTTTTTAATTCTCCAAACGAAAATAAATTTAAAATATATTTAGCAAGTTTTTTGGTCTTTTATCTTAATAGGAAATATAATCTAAAAAAATTTATTTTTAAATTTATGCTTCTGGTATTGTGCTAAATATTCTCTGGTTATTTTCTCCTAAGGGAACACAGATTTTTAGCAGAAAATATTTTTTGGGGTTTCGAGTTGGGGGGTTTTTTTCGTGTCGAGTTCCGTCCTCGAAAGAAGGACGGGTTCCCCTTTCTGGTTTTTACTTTTTGTTTGAAACCAACGTCATTTAATTTTTAGTCTATGCAAAATTAAAACAAAATATTAAAAAATCAGAAAATTATTTTTTTTATTTTTAAAGTGCTTCAAAAGAAACAATTAATTTTTAGTAAATAAAAGGTTTCTATAATTATTATACATAGATGAAGAATTAAAAGATTTTTATGAAAAAATGACATCAATTTTTGACTTTTATTTTGCAAATTTGTGTTCTACTTTCTTTTAATAATAATTCTTGTAAAGTTTATTCAAAAATAAATTTTTTGGATTATTTTTTGGATTCATTCATGAATTAATTTTGTTATACCAAGGAATAATTTTAGTTTCCGTCTGTCAGAACAACAGAATCTATTTTTAATTTATTCTGTAAGGTATTTTGCAAATTCTTCACAAAGCTCACAGAATTTGAGCAGAACAGAATTTTGTGCTTTGATTCAGAACAGAATCAAAACATAGAAGCTGAGAGATTACATATTAGGGTTCTTACCGTCTCGATTTCCAAAAATTTCTGAGAAGCAGGACTTGAAATAATTCAGAAATTTTCGATTATTATGTCGACGGGATCCTCTTCCTTCGTGCCTTAATCTTTTAGTTTCCATTAGGGTTTCATGGGAAGTTCAGGTTTCGGGAAAGTTCCGGCGTTTTTTGATTCCGGTATCGTTCTCGGATCCAGAACTCAAATTGGATCCAATTCTGGTCAAAACTTCGGTTCCGGTGATATCCTAGTATTAATGTTTGCCTTGTTTTATTTTTTCATCAAACATTACCCTGATTATTTTATCTAGGTATTTATTTTTTATTTTATTTTCGCTCTTTTTTCACATTAAAAGATTTCATTTTAAAAACATCTTAAATTTCCTTCAAATAATTTTTTTTAAATTTTCCTCAAAAAATATTTTCCTTATTGATTTCCCTTTATTTTATATAAACTTTTGATCATTTTTAATATTTTTATTTATTTTTATGAAGAAGCTTAAAAAGCGAACACAAATATTTTTTGTTGTCAAAAAAATATTTTTATTTATTTATTCTCCCATATTTTTTCTTCTTTCATTTTTTTACTTTTTTTAAAAAAAATTTTTTCTCCCCATTTTTCCCTCTTTTGAGTCAATTAGGGAAAAAAATCTGGCGGCAGAAGCAAAAAAATATTTATTTTTAAAATCTTCCCTCATTTTTTCTTTTAAAAAGGCCAAAAGTGTTGTTTTTGGACACATTTGTTGGACACATACTTTTAAGTCTCCAAAGAGATTTTTGTCTTTAGGCGAATATTTAAAAAAATTATAACACAAAAAAACAAGATTGTGAATTTCTAAAAGTTTTTTGAAATTTTCCATATTTTCAATTTCATGTTTTTGATTGAAATTTTCAAACAGACTTGGTAATGGATACGGATATGGATACAGATAATTTCCATGCCTGCGGATATCAGCCTGAATCCGCTGTAAATATCCGGATACGGATGCCATGATCCATGTCCATTACCAAGTCTATTTTCAATTGCCAACTTTGAAATTTTAATTTGGATTTTTAATTTCGATTTTGCTTGCACACTTACTTCATTTGAAGGTACAAGTACTATCTTTGCCAACTCTTTTGTCAAATCCGTCAACTTTATTACATTTCACGATGTTCTCTAAATTTTGTTCTAAATATACTTGAAAATTTATATTTTAATGATTTTAATTTTCTTAAAAGTCTAGAAAATAGTGCCAGATAATTCATTAAAATTTATTTTTTTGTGAATTTCCTTCTTTATTATTATTTTCTCAAAAATCCAAAAAAATATCTTCAACTTTAAGGAAAAGGAAAAAAACTTTTCTGTTGACATCAACAAACAAAAAAATATTTTTTCACAATTTCTTTCGAATAAATTTTTTGTTAATTGTTATGGGAAAATTAATGAAAAAAGTGGAAATAAATGTTCAGAAATGGCAAAATAAAAAGTCACTCATTTTCGTTAAAGGAAATTACTTTTAACATTTCCAAAAAATTCCTACTGTTTTATCTTATTTTGTGCATTAAAATTAATTATATGGAAGGGCAAAAATATTTTTTAAAAAAAGTTTATTTATATATTTTACCTCAAAACACTTTGTTGCTGCGAGTTTCGTATTTTTCCTCATTTTGTATTTCGAAATCCGTTCCCTCATTTATGTACGCATATTTAATTAGAGAAAGGACATAAACGAGATCTCGAACAAAATTTTTGGCTATCGAGATTAATATTTTCCTGTATCTCGATTTTTATACGTGAATCGAGATAGATATCTCGAAAAAGAACTAAAAAGAGTGGCTTACGAGAATCGTAGTGATATCTTGAAATACGGTAAATGCTCTAATTAAAGCCCGGCTCTATTAGAAGTCCATATCTAATATAAGCCCATCAAGGAGGCCCATCGAAAAATAGACGTCCAGGGCTCCAATTAGAGCATTTACGGTATATCAATCTCGATAACAAAACGTGTTCGAGATATCATCTCAGTCCTATCTCTAGTACAGCAACCTTTCTAAAACATCTAAAATTTGACTTGTCTGTATCTATCAGAGGCGAATCGGGAAAAACTTAAAGGTTCACCTGTGGTATCTATAAATACAACTTTGACGTAAATGTAAATACAAATTCTAAAAATTTTAATAAAATTAAAAAAAAAATTTTCCAAAATCGGAAATCAAAAATTGAAAGGAAAAAAACCTCTAATTTTAAAATGCTCTAATTTTAAGTAAATGCTCTAATTTTAATTTTATTAAACCTTAACTTTAAAAAATTTATTTTCTCGTAGAAAAAAAATTTATTTCCCCCAAACAAACATTTATAAATATTTTAAGTCAAACTTTTTTTTATTCTTTAACATTAGTGGGAAAAATGAAACTTCCATCTGTGGCCTTTTTTGTGACTTTTCCCATAAAACATTTACTGGTTCTCGATGAATTTAGCCCTTTTTTTTAAATTTTTTGACGATATTAATTTTAATTTTTTAGATAGATTTTCGCAACATAAAACAAATTTTTAATATTAAACTTTATCTAAATATGTACATATAGTTTTATATCAAACATCAACACAATTTTATTTTTTGGTCCCCTAACTCTATGGTGATTTTCAAGTCATTTTCAAACTCCATACAGTCCATTCCCCGAGATCTTGTCTACAAAAATGTTCTCCCTGACGGCTCAGCGAACTACCCATACCCTCCAGAGTTGTTTCGAAATTTCAATTTTCTAGGTTTTTTTCCTTTCAATTTTTGATTTCCGATTTTGGAAAATTTTTTTGTTTCGAAACATCTCTGACACTAACTAGATATCTTCAACTACTACGTTCTCCTAAAACACATGCTGCTGATTATTTTTTAAATGCGGAAGACGGAAGGAACGTTATGTGGAAGAAGCAAATTTCAGTTCCCTGTTTTAGCTCCTTAACACTTAATATTATAATTTTATCTAAATACCTAATAATATTTTTTTACAGATTTTTTTAAATTTTTATCTTCCTATTTTTAATTACTTCAATATTTATGTTAATCTTCCCCACCATATTATTTTCATTTTCCACATTTGCCAGTTTCACTTTTCTCTCATTCTCAAGTGCCACTCCAAGACAAATCCAAGTACCTGGTTCAATACTCATTGGAGGCCTATTTCCAATACACGAGAGTAGCAGAAATACTTCTGGTTCCACACTTTGTGGGCGAATAAAGGCTGATCAGGGAGTTCAACGGATGGTAGATTTTTTTGAAATTAGACATCTCTTTTTAATTTTAAAGGTGTCTATGCTATATGCATTAGAGCAAATCAACAAAAACCATCGTATTTTGCCTGGGATTCAATTGGGAGCACAAATTCTAGATTCATGGTGAATTTAAAAAATATTGGCAGACTTTTGCGGACAGATTTTTGCGGACAGACTTTTGCGGACAGACTTTTGCGGACAATTTTTTGCGGACAGTTTTTTGCGGACAGTTTTTTGCGGACAGATTTTTTGTGGAAAGACTTTTGCGAACAGTTTTTGCGGACAGATTTTTGCGGATTTTTTTTCTGCAAAAATTTTGCGTACTAAAGCAAATTATAAGACTTTTCTAAATTTTCAAGTTCTGTGGAAACCCATGCATTAGAACAAAGTTTACAATTTATCCAGTCTGTATGTGCAGAAGGAGAACAACAATATTTTAATGAAAAATTATCTTTAATATCTGAGCAAAGTAAAGGGAGAAAAATAGCTGCAGTTATAGGGGCTGCTTCTTCTCAAGTAAATTACTATTAAAAATTTCTTTTTAATGGATAAAAAATTTATTGGAAATGATAGCCTGACTTAAAGAATAAAAAATAATTTTAGGTCTCAGTTATGGTCTCATCAATGCTACAACTTTTTAAAGTACCTAAATTATATTTTTCTAATTAATCCAAAAAAATTTCAAAAAAAGATTCCTATGGTCAGCTATTCTTCAACGGGCGTTGAATTAAGTGAAAAGCCTCGGTGAATTTTCCTAAAAATAAATTTTGAGAGAAATTTTTCCTTTATTTTCCAGTTTTGCTTATTTTTCTCGTGTTGTGCCTCCAGACAATTTACAAGCTAAAGCTATGGCACATTTAGTAAGAAAACTTTTTGATTGATGCCCTCTATTTTTAAATTAAAAGGTCGCTGCTCTAGGCTGGAATTATGTCCATGCAATTGTGGATACTGGAAGTTACGGGGAAAGGGGAATGGATAGTTTTCGAGCTGCTGCTACAGATTTGAATATTTGTATAGATGGAGATGTTCATAAAATAAGTAGAAGATGGACTGATGAACAATACGAGTAGGGGAATTTTTTGAGGATTTTTCTCTTAAAAAATTTTTTCCAGAGAATTACTTTTACGAATGAGAAATTCAAAAGCTAGAGGTGTTGTTATGTTTGTGGATGAAGACAATTTGCGTCGTTTTCTCTCTAATCTTAAAAGGCTGATAATGCTTTCTGAAAAGACTAAGCCTTATATGCCTAGACTTAGAAATTATTTTTGGTAATTATTTTAAAATTACTAAATATTTTAGAGTAAAGCACCGGGGCTACATATAACTATTTCTCTCCTTTAGCTAGTGCAAAAGATTATTCGGCAGCTGGGAACGAACTAGCATCTTAAGTAGACCGGACTGATGGGTTATCCATTACACATCGACTCCTGCACAGCCTTAGGAATTAAATAGCTATATGCTTTACATTAGTTAAAATAAATTTAACCGACAAGAAAAGAGGATTAAAAAAAGATATTAAATGTCAAAAATTAAAATATTAAAATATAAAAATATTTAAAAAAGATCTCACGCGCGATTTCGTGGGATCCAGCAGCCACAAAATAAAAAATTATACTACGCTGATCACACTATATGATACCCTTAGAATTAAAAGATTAAAAGAAGTCAGAGTTTGGCTGGCAGCTGACGAGGGGACTACATTTTTATATATTGAATGGGAACTATATATCCCCACTTAAACCTTATGTATGTTACGATTTTTTAGCCCAGGGGTATCTATTAGTTCAGGGGCTTCTTAAGAGCTTCATTTGCAGCTTTTCAATAAAATTCTAAACTTACCTAATAATCTTAAAATATTAAAGGTTCGTAGCAAGTGACAGTTGGGGTGTAAAAGTTTCTGTGGTAAAAGGCTTTGAACATATTATTAATGGAGCAATAACTGTTGCCCCAAAAGTTAGATATCTTCAAGGTATAAAGGAGTAATAATTTTTAAATTAAATTATGGCTAATAATCTTAAAGGTTTTGCTGAATATTTCGCAGCATTGGGACCTTCAAATACTTTTCTTAGCGAATATTGGCAATTTATGAATTGTTCAGAACATTTCCATCCAAACTTTGGGTCTTGTTTCAAAACCCAAAGGTTTCCAAAAAATAAATTTTTACTTAAAAGAATTTTTGTAGTCATTATTTTAAACAAGAAGCTTATGTTCCGTTTGTTTATGATGCTGTTCAGTTGGTTGCTAAAGCTTTGCATAATTATATAAAGGTAATAGACACTAGAGGCCGGACTGAGAGACTTTATTAATTTTAATTAATATGATATGAGGATTGCGGTTTTGATGGTCAATGGGAAAATTGTGAATTGGCCAAAAATGGTTTTGATGGGAAAAAACTACAAAAACTTTATCGAAATGTTTCGCTTATAGGTAATTTTAAACTATATCTTTTAATATTTTTAAGAGATAAGGATTTTTCCTAAAATTATCCCATTTATCATTAGATGGTCAACCTCCCCTCATTGACGCTAATGGTGACGGAAATGGGCAATACAGTATATTTCAATTAGACGAAAGAGGACTTTATAGAAGAGTTGGGGGCTGGATAGATAACGAACTCATTGACTTGGATGTGGCAGATATCCGAGCTGGGCTGCAGGTGAATATTAAGGAATTGAACAATTCGATGGGGGAAAGGCTTAAATTATCGTTTGGACAGAATCAAAGTTTGGACAGGATTTCCATTTAATTTATAAAAGTCGTTTCTGTTCAGATTCTGGATAAGACCCGGGTGCTTGAATATCCGAATCTGGTTTCAGGTCTGTTAACGTCTAGATCCAAGAATTACTCGATTATTCAAAAATTTTTTAAAATTATTTTTTAAATTCATTTTTTTAAATATTCAGCGTATTGTAACATCAACTGGAACTATTGAGGAAGACATAAACTATATTCCTCTTTCTGTGTGCAGCTTACCCTGTGCAGAAGGGCATTATAGAGCTTATCAAGATCAGAGTTGTTGTTGGACTTGTATTCCTTGTGATACAAGTACATCAATTATACCAAACAAAACAAGGCAAAGAATAATATTTTTGAAATTTTCATTTAAAATTTCTAGTTGTATCCAATGCCCTCTTGGTGAAGTGCCTAATGCAGAATTAAGTATTTGTGAGCCTATAAGACCAATACATTTGGATTGGGATAGCCCTTGGGCCTTTGTTCCTGCCATTTTTTCTAGTATAGGTTTGCTAGCTACTTGTGCAGTGACAGCTGTGTTTATCCGTTACAATTATACACCTGTGGTAATGAATTAACTTTATTTATTTATTTATTTATTTATTTATTTGCCACTTGGGCGACATTACAAATTTGAAAATACATATATGGATTGAAAAAAAAATAAATTAAGACAAGTTGAAAATTAAACTAACTTGTTTATTTATCTCTATAACTAAGGATAATTAGGAGTTTCGAACTGGTATAAATATTTTTTGAATGTATACCGAGGCTTTATTTTTCTATCCAATGAGTGTATTAAGAATTTAACGGAAAGAAGTGTTGCTATGATTAGAAACCGGATTTGGACAGTTTGTCGAGAATCATGATTAATACTCAAAGAATAGTATAGATAACCGATATTTTTGTTCGAGTTCTCTTTTCAGTCTCATTTCTAATTATGATGAGCAGTTCATGCATAATGGAACTTGTTAGCTTTAGCCTAATCCCTGTTCCCTTTGTTCCTACTCTATTTTGCCCTCTAACATTCTGAGTAGGGTTGCCGTTTTCGAGTCGGGCCGACGGTCGAGGCATTTTTTTTCGGGCTTGTTTTTATCGAGTCGGGCCGGTACGAGTCTTTTTCGGGCCTAACTTTATCGAGTCGGGCCGATACGAGTCTTTTTCGGGCTTGTTTTTATCGAGTCGGGCCGGTACGAGTCACTTTCGGGCCTGACTTTATCGAGTCGGGCACCGAGACATTTTCGAGTCTTTTTTTAAAAGATTTATTTAAAAATAATTAGTGGATTCGGATGGATATCTGTGAATTAAAAGGTATATCGATAGATCAGGAGGGTAAAGGAAGGGCTGAAGAGAATTGAAATGGATATCAGTGGATTTGAGGGATTAAGGTTATTTAAATTATCGGAGGATTGGGGTGAGATATTGATAGATTTGGTTTTATTAAAGGAGATCAGATGATTAAGGGGTTCAGGATCGTATATCAGATGATTAAGGTGATATATTGTAATGGGATTTAGAAGGAATGAGGAGATTTGAAGGGATATCGGGGATATCGTGCGTTAATCACCAAATCCCTTAATAAAATCCCGCTGTATACTAAAATTCCTCGTATCCTTGATCCTCGTACTTAATAAATTCCTCGTACACTTAATCCAAGGGCGTGTCCCGAAATAGGGGAAAGGGGGAAAAAATTAGTAGAAGAATGGTCGAAAAAGTTTTTTTCGACAATTTTTCGACAAAAGTTTTTTTTCGAATACTTGTGGACCGAAGATTGCGACTGCGTATTTTAAAGTTAAAATTGCGGACTGCGGAAAATTGTGGACTCTCAAAACTGATTGAGTTTCAAAAGTTCAAATTATGACGGGATCCCGCGGAATATATACCATAACTCCCAGTAATCCAGCTTATCAATTAAAGCCAGTAAGTTCGAGATGTGAAGCAAAGTATGGAGATAAAAACCCTTCATGAAGGCAAAAATTTTGAGATATTCGGAAGGCTAAGGAACAAACTTCTTCCTTTTTCAGCGCCGCAGGCGAAAATTTTTCGAATTTTGGAAGGCCAAGGAGCCAGATTTCATCCATTTTTGTCCACAAATCTGGTAAAAATATTATCGAGTCTCGTTCGAGATTTTTTTTTTTTTTTACTTTTTCCGAGACAATTTTTTTCGGGCCTGTTTTTATCGAGTCGGGCCGGTACGAGACTTTTTCGGGCCAAACATCGAGGCATGACTCGATCTTTCGGTCCGAGTCGGTCCATTTTGGCAACCCTAATTCTGAGAATGAGAGAGCGAGATCAGAACAAAATTTAATAATTAAATTTTAAAAAAATATAAAATTAAGGTAATGGCTTCTGGGCGTGAATTATGTTATTGTATGTTGGCCGGAATTGCTTTATGTTATGGAGTTACTTTTGTTTTGGTCAGTCCTCCATCAGAATTGGTCAGAAAATACAAAATTTCCCCCTTTAATTATTTAAAAATCAAAGGTGTGTACATTAACAAGAATACTTATCGGTTTATCAATGGCAACTGTTTATGCAGCAATTCTTGTAAAAACGAATAGATTAACACGGGTGTTTAAGCCAAATAGTGCTTTAAGGCCTAAATGGATTGGGCCTACTGCACAAGTAGACCAATTAAACTTTTTAAAATTTTTTCTATAAAATCTAAAGGTTTTCTTTTGTGCAATTCTTGCATCTGTACAGCTTGGAATTGCTTTAGTCTGGATTTGGTTAGAACCACCCGGAACTGCTATTCAATATCCATCGCGTACTGAAGCTGTTCTAACATGCAAAGTAGGGGCAACCTAATTTAATTTTTTAAAACTCTTTAGAATTGTATTGAAAATTATATCCCTAAATCTGAGTAAAATAATGGGAATTGTAGAAAACCTACCCAAAGGGTTATTTAAATTGTTGTGATTTCTAGACTAGTTTTGAAATAGTGCTTAAAACCAGTGTTTGGGTTACGCGTACTCGTATAGGCCAGATTTTTTCGTACATGAACTTTGGGAACTACGAACTTCGGGACGAGATTCCAAACTGCCTAAGACTTCAAATATTGGGAAATCAGGAGGAGGTTCTTGAAACGGAGAGGGTACTTTTATTAATTAGCTTTAAAGTTTAATAGCATTTTTAATTAAAATATCATTTAATAGACTTTACGTGTTAAACTTTTAATAATTAAAAAAATTTTTTAAAAGGCTACACTTTCACATTTACTTATTTCACTTTTCTATTGCGGAATTCTTATAATTGCTTGCACAATTTATGGTTACAAATACATATTTTTTAAATTTTAATTAAAAAATTAATGTATTAAGCATTTAAAACGCGTGAAATACCTGAAAATTTTAATGAAACTCGTCTTATTGGATTTACAATGTATTCAACTAGCATACTTTGGCTAGCATTTGGACCCATTTATTTTGCTACACAAAATAACTTCCGAGTGGGTTTATAGAAAAGTCATTCCGACTTCGGGCTTTTGTTGAACTTCTGACTTTTATTTAACTCTTAATTAGGATTCCCGTTTTCAAACTAGGGCGTAATTCGAAGCAATTTTTAGGGCCTCACTTTTTTAAATCGGGCTGTTTGAATTTTCCGCGTAGGGAATAAGGTTGGCGGATCCGGATATCCGAAGATTTCCAACTATCCGCCAACCTTAATAGGGAAACCTTCAGATATCCTGAGCTGAACCGAAGAGCTAAACCGACCTTAGTTTCTTCGGCTTCGTTCCGAATCTACAACCCTAGTTTCGAACCAAATTCCACACAAACCTAAATCTATTTTTTCTTAAATTAAATATTTTCACTTTAAAAGATTAAAGAAACAAATTTAGATCCAACTCACTTCACTTTGTATTACCATTTCATTAAGCGGGACGGTTGCTTTAACCTGTTTCTTTGCACCAAAGGTTTATATCTGCCTGTTTCAACCTTACAAAAATGTGAGAACACGAAGTTCTGCTGTAGGGAAATTAGTGAATCAACAAATGCGTTTTATTAGGTATTTTAAATTTTTTAATTTTATGTGAGTGATTTGCGGTGTTTTTTGAATAACTAATCAAAGAAAGTGTTATCTCTTAATCAGCGGGAAAAAACCAAAGTTGACTGAAATTAATACTTGATAGAAACCCCTAATCCAGTTTATACCCTCAGAGAACCTCTATGGGTGTCTCAGAGGGCCTCCAATATCTACGTGGTTGATTGGGCTAGTTTTTTGTTTATAACTTGATCAAGTTCTACCCAATCTCGCTAATATTATACCATTTGGCTCAGCTTGAAGAAACGCGTCGAGTAAGCTACTATTTGTGTTCTAAGTTGAAAATAATATGGGGGGGGGTGTAACAGAAAAGTAAAAAGTTAATTAAAAACCCCTCCTCAATTTACCATTTCAAAATTTTTCTTTAATTTCTAACATTTTTTAAAAATATTTCTTGTTGTGTTTGCAGTCAAATAACCAGTCCCGAACAACAATCAACTGGCCATTATAACAAAATGCCTATTTCCTCATACTGTACTGTTTCAACAAATGGAGGGTATAGCGAGACACCGTCTGCTGGTAATTCTGATAAATAAACATTAAAAATATACTAACACTAAGTATTCTTACAAACATGCGCATTAGAAAGAAAAATGTCGTATTTTAACACTAATTAACAAAAATTAACATTTTTGCTGTTTTCGGTTTTCCCTAAAATCAAATAAGCGACGAAAAAACGAAGAAGCATAACGGTTTTGAAAGCTAACAAAATTTGCCGTTTTCTGCGTGCTTAACAAAATTTTTAACAATTTTTTGTGTTTTTCCTCCTTGGTTTTTTTGCCAGTAGGCAATGTACCTCAACCTCCTCTCTCTGTGTTGAGGCGACGTTCCTCCGTGGCAACATGCTTCATTGCACAGAATCAAAACTCGACGGCAGAAATACCAAGGAAATATTTGCGCAGAATGGAGACAATTAGTAATGCTGGAGGTGGACATCATTCCGACTTGGAAAGGATAAGGAGAAGAAGGTAAAAAATTAAAAAAAAAGTCTAATAAAATAGCAAGTATACCTAAAATAGCAATACCATTAAAAGCCCTTCTAAGTCTAAAAATAAGAAGAAGCCTAAACTCGACAATCTTTGCCAGATTTTGTGGAATATTGAAAATAACCCTCGAATATTTGGAAATTTTCGATTTGGATCCTCTCGCTCTGAGGACTATCCTGACTCTTTTAATCCTATGTCTGAGATTTTAATAAGAGACTGGACCTAGACAAGATCTCAAACTTGAAGAATATCGAGATCGTTATTCTAATAATCTCTAGGTTTATCAGAATATCTAAATAAATCTCTAGTTGAGCTATTTATCCTACCATTTCCCACTTAGTAATTTTTTTAAATGAAAACTCGGAAAAGTTATTTTTAGATGATTATTTTCCATATATTTTTAGCCAAGAATCCCAACAACTTCAACAAGAAAATCTTCACCAACATTTATTATATTCCCCAGCAGAAATGTGTCGAAGAAGACATTCAGCTAATGTGAAACGCCGTCGGTCATCGGCCGCTTCTTCTTCATCAAATTCTCGACGTTCTTCTTCAACAACTCTTTTAATTGGACCCTCAACGAGAGAAAAATCCGAAAATGAGGTAAATTTAATTTTTTCTTTAATTTTTATGAGAAAAAATATTTTTTCCAATCATACAATCAAATATTTTATCACCTTATCTTTTTAATCATTCGTCACTCCATCCGTGTATTTTACGTTATTTTTATTGTCCAGATTTCTAGAGATGTCCTTAATTAAGTCTATTTCCCATATAGAGAACTCTCTCTATAATAAACTCTCTCTGCAGTGAAACTCTCCCTGCTGTGAACTTCTCTATAGTGGACTCCTTAGGGAGAGTCCCTATTGTGGACTCTTTCTAGGATCATAATCAATTATTTCCTTCCTGAAATCGTTGTCTCTATAAATAAGCTATTAGTGTTCACAATATAGAGAGTAACTGGCCCTTTTTAATACCATTAAAAACGGAAATTAAAATATGTAATCATTCAAAAATAATCTTTTCATATCATTCCAAAATTTGATTAATTTAAAGGTTAATGTCATAAAACAAGCAGAAGAATGTCCTTCAACTTTGCTGGCTCAAAATATAACAAAAAAGCAAAACGGTGTTTCTCCCAATTTTATTCTCCCAACATTAACAGATAAATACAACGGCCAAATAGATCAAAAAACCTGTATAGACACAAACAATCCAGTTCAATTAATTTTAAGAGAAATTAGTGATGCATCTTTTGCAACTTTTCTTTAAAGTGATTTTATAAGAAAAATACTTAATATTGTAAAAATTTGTTGTTAGGATCTGTGTCTTAAGATTTAAAAAGGAAGTTGAAACAAGGGGTACCAGGGAATCTAATATGTTAACTTTTTTGTATCCGACCTCATTTTCTTTTTTTTTATATCGAAAATAGTGTTTAGCGTTGCCGGGTGACATAAAGGCCGTATCGGACATCCCGATATGGACTTTAGGTCACCTTAAGCTTGATATCCTACCAAGTCCACTTTAATTCTTCTTGATATTCCGATATACCCTAAATTCTCTTTTCCCTATGCCTATATCCTTTGGATTCGGCAATATTCTTACAAATCCATAGTTATCCCTCAAACTCCTCTGATATATCACTTAATCCACTTCCCTTACAAAAAAAGAGGAATATCGGTGAACGTATATGAGATCGGAGGATTAAGGGGATTTATAGTGATATAGTGTATAACACTCAACCCTACTATTTTGGAATGAGGAAAATGAAAAGGGGGGGGGGCTTAACAGAAAATTACCCCAAAATATTTATGTATCTTTTATTCAATTTTATGTATTCTAGTCAAGATTTTTATGTACATATTTAGAACATTTTTAGCTAGTTATTATTAAAATTTATAAAAATTTTTGATTATTTTATTTAAATATAAGCAAATTTTGTTTCGATTTTTTGGAGAGATCAGAAAAGTTAGAACACAAAGTACTTAAAAATTAAGAGGAAATCACTCCATCGCTCTAGCTGACATACTAAACAAAAGGAGAACAACCGCCTATAGCGATGTAAAACAAAATTGACGTGCGCAGCTAAAAAAGTGAATGAAATATGCAACGTGTTATTAATTTTATTCTTCTTACTATAAAAAGAATTGATAATAATAACGAAAAAAAAGGGGAAAAAGTGATAAAAGTTGTCTTAAAAATAGTTAGTGAATCTCTGTATCGGAGTGTTATTGAAAATTTAAAAAATGATCGAAATTTGAAAGAAAAAAGTCGAAATTAACTAAATCGGTTTTGAATTGTTCTGGTATGCTTTTTATTTAATTTTAACTTTAGTATGTGAAGAAGGGAAAATATGTATTAATCGTTTTGGAAGATTTCTGTTTTTTTCTAAATTTAGGAAATTTACCTTACAAGGACTTAATTATAATATATGTAGGTTTATTGAAGGTATACGATATTTATCAATTTAATAAGACCTAGTCACGGATACAACGAAGTACAGGTGATTTTTTCAAAAAATTATTTCAAAAAAATTTAAAAGAACCAATCATTATTTCAATCAAAAAATCAATCTGGTTACATATTTTAATCCATAAATGGAAAAAATGACTGGAAAAAATGTTCACACACAAAGAGCAAAGGAGTAGAGAATTAATAGAACCGGTAAGGACGGAAAGCACCAAAAATTTTATTTAAAAAAGAGGCGAAAAGCAGTGATTTTTTAATGCTTTATACGTGAAAAGAATCTTTATTTTCCTCTCAAGTATTTTTCTACACATTTTTCTTTCCTTTCCCGTTTCAGCAAAAATTGCGCAGCAGCAGTTACATATAAAAATAAATATATTCTTTCATCAATGGTTGTGGTAAGTAGAAGGAGTAGAACAAGGACACGTCATCAAAAATTGTGTGTGAATATTTTTCTTAAATAAAAAGCATTGGCAAGTTTTATTTTATTAAAAAGAGATATTCCAATAATTCTAAATTATGTTCTAAAATTTTAATTTTTTTATCTCTCACTACTTCCAAAAATTAAAAAATCTATGACTCCGTTTATAAAAGCGATGTCAGCTCGCGCATAGTTAAATTGAAGTTTTTCTATTAAAAACGACCCCCTATATAACATGGGCATTGCAAACCGGTTTTAAAAAGTGGAGGATGAAAAATGGAAAAAAGTAAATCCCTGTTATATCTTGAACCTGTTAAATAAATGTTAAGGCATATGAAACCGTCTTGTGGGTTCATAGTATTCACAATAGAGGGAGATGGGCACAAAAATGTTAGGGATATATCGTAAATACTCAAATAATTACCCTCTCTCAAATAATTACCCCCTCCCTTTCCTTCTCTAATTTTTTCTAATTTTTTGAATCATTGTCAACTTTAATTATTGAAACATTATAAGAATCAAATCAAAAAATAAATGGATTTCCCCCTCGATTTATTGAGATATACCTCAAATTCTGCCCATTCTCTCGATTAATTACCCCTACAGCTAGAGGTCGAAACAATAAAAGTTCAAGGGTATTCTATGCAAGGCTTTCTTCCGTTTTAAGAAGAAAGCCTTAACCTTTCAAAAATCCCACCATCCGACTGATAGTTTTTTATTTCCTGCTTTATTAATCAGACGGGAGGAAAATTTGCCAGCCTTACATCTTTATAAATTTTTAATATTCATTCACTCAAAGTATATTTTAAAATTTATTCTATATTTTTTAAACTTTAATTTATTTAAAAAATTATTTAAATTTAAATTTTTCCCTTTATTCCCTTTCCATTTATTGACTTAACTTTATACAGCTTTTACTTATCCATCGCGTATCGCACGGGATTTAATCCACGTTTTTATAAATAAAAGTTGCCTTTAAATTTAAAGGCTCTTAATTTAATTTTAAAATTCCTTATTTAATCATGTGAAGTGAAAAAAATTTTTTTCCTAGAATTTTAAATAAATTTTATAATTTAAATTTAACCTTTTCATCTATTTCTTAGTCATTCTCATAAAAAATTTTTTTAAATAAAAAATTTTTTTAGAAAATAAAAAATAAAATGAATTTTTGTCTGTCACCTTTCCCCAAAAATAATTTTATTTTATTAAATTATTTTATTTTATTTATTCAATTATTTAATTATAATAAAGCTTCTGATGTTTTTACGGCAATGGTTGATATAGAAAATTTATTGTTAAGTGAAGTTTCTGGGACATCACAAGTTATCGAGCAATATATTAAATCAGAACAAGAAAGATTGAATAAATTGAGAGAGTTGGGAAATTTTAATTTTTATTTGGCAGACCTCGATTTTGCGTACACTAGGGATGGGATGCAGAAGTGGGTGGAATTCCGATTTTCGGCGTTTTTTCTTCCTATTTCTGATTTCCGAAAAAAATTCTGATTTCCGATTTCCGTGTTCCGACTTTTGAGCCAGTTCCGATTTCCGGCTCTTCCGATTTCCGACACCTCTGGCTGTTCCGCCCACCTCTGATGGGAAGTGTTAAACCCGACCTGAAGAAAATTTTGAAAACTCGACCTATCCCTGGCATACGCTCAAAATTTTTAGAATTTTATTTGGTCGATCAATGGGTAGGAAGAGTTTCTTAAAGATACCTCCCAATTTTAGATAAACCTCCCATTTTACGTGCAATTTTTTCAGCCTTAAAGGTGTACGCAAAATAGAGGTCCTATTATATGTAAATAAAGAAAAAATTAATTTTTATTTAAAAAGTTTTTAGATTTGCTGAAGAATATGCTAATGCTCTTTATGATCCTAGTGGAAGGTCAAAATTTAGAGGAGGACAATTAGTACCTGGACAACTTGATGTAATATTTTGTTAATAATAATTATTTTAAAAATAAATTTATAAAAAATAGTCGACAAAATAAAGGAGAAATAATTACGTGGAATAATTCATACTATAGGACACTTATGGGCCCTTCCACTTTTAAATCGGAAAAAACCTAAGTGTAGGTGGAAGACGGAAGCGGAAGGGATACCAAATCATGATTGAGATACAAAATTAGATCACAAATCAAGATCTCAATCCAAAACCCCAAAGATCCCAAATCTCAACCCAAAAGGATCCCAATCCTCCATTCCCATCCCATGCTATATTTGAAGGTCTATTTTTCGAATAATAAAACTATGCCAAATTTTGACGAATTTTAAAAACATTCGTCAACTATGACGAATTTTAAAAATATTTTTAAGATCAAAAACCTCATATAATTTATAAAAAAATCTTTAAAGGCTGACATTTTAAAAATAACATTGAAAATAAATAGACTTTTCGTCGATGACTGTAAATAGAAACGTCCAAAATTAGTTTGAAGGTCATCTTTATTAAGCGTGAGAAAACTGAAAAATCAAGGACAAATAAGGAAATAAATTTTTAAAAATTATTTTTATATTTAAAAGGAGGAAGCTGTAATGAATCCAGTTAATGCCTTTTTGTTAATTAAACGTATGACGAGTGATTGGAAAGAAATTGAAAAACTTATGCATTACAATATGGCTGACCAATTTATTAAGAATATAACTGATGGACGTGTTCTTAACTCTGTTAGGGATTTTTTTAGTTTAAATAAAATTTTGTGAAAAATGGGGGCTATAGAGTGGGGGCATTAATATGGTTAGGAAAAAGTTTAAAAGAAGTTTAGTCAACAAGCGAGAGAGCGAGAGCCGAAGCCTGGAAATTTTCGTCTTTCTAAGCAAATAATGTAGTGAGATATGCTTCTTACTTAAATAGTCTTACTTACATAGTAACCTCATTTGAGTAACCTCATCAATATTACGATAGGTATTTTCATTAATATACATATTCAAAAAAAATATAATTGACCAATTTGTTTGTTTAAAGGTAAAATATCCAGACGATGAGGATTTGGATGGTGCTGCAATAGGATTATTAAGACTGCAAGAAACCTATAAATTACCGACAAAACAGCTTGCCGATGGATTTGTTGGAAATGAAAATGTTGGGAAAGCTTTAACAGCACATGACTGTTTTGAAATTGGGAGATCTGCTTATAATCAAAAGGTTTTGAAGAAAAAGGAGTGGGGTTTGAATTTATCTACTCCTTAAGGACTTTAAAAATACTGTTCAGAAATAAGGGGTTTATTAAATATGAGTATAGCCACCCAAAGGCTAAATAAAATTTCTAAAACAAATCTTTAGTATTGGGTGTATCCTATATTGAGGCCAAATGTAATACAAATAAAGATAGATAAATTATGAAATTTAACACTTGTATTAACACTATATCAACGTTTTTAAC